TGAGTCCATGCTATGAAAGCAAGGCACTGACAAACAGGTGCAATGAAAACATGGTGGAATAATAGCAGGAAGAAATGCTCACATGATGGACATAGAGGAGAGCTCAAACCTCATTGTTCTGAGCATGTGGTGTTAAGGACAATTGGGAAAGACCAGAAATCAACCTTTTTGTGGTAGTTTGAAAGTCATAGGCCCCATAATCCCATAATCTCATAGGGAGTGGCACTGTTAGGAGGTGTGGCCTTGTTGGAGTAAGTGTGGCTTTGTTGGAGGAAGTATGTCACTAGGGCTTTGAGGAATCCAAAGCGCCTCTGTTCATTTCCTGTTGCCTGTGAATTAAGATGTAGAACTCTCAGCTACCTCTCCAGCACTATATCTGCCAGCACATGCCATGCTTCCCACTATGATGACTATGGACTAAGCCTCTGAACTGTAAGCTAGCCCCAATTAAATGTTTTCCTTTATAAGAGTTGCTGTGGTTGTGGTGTCTCTTCTCAGTAATAAAACCTTAACTGAGACACTTGTAAATTGTTTGTGAGACAGAATCTTGCTATGTAGCTCAGGCTGTCCTGGAACTCACAATCCTGTTGCCTCAGCCTCCCAAGGGCCCAGGCAAAATTAATGTTTTGCCTTATATTATTCATCAAAAGAACCTGGATATCTAAATGTGAAACAAAAACCTGCCAAACACAAAGAGAAACTGTAGGAGAAGACTCATGGCTTTGAGGGTGGGCAGTTTCTTTAAGCAAGACACAAAGCAAAGGCTGCAAGGAGAAGTCCCAAATATCTAAGTTCTTTGGAAAAGACAACTAAAAGGAGAAAAGTGACAAGCTGAAAAGTGTCACCATTTCTAAGCAGGCAGAAGTGCTGTATGTCTGGAAGATCTAGCAAATTCCTTCAAATCAATACAAAGGCCTCAAAATGCCAACCACTAATCAACAGACACAGTACTTCAAAGAAGGGGAATAAAATGCACATTAAAAAATGCTCAAAAAACACCCAAACTGAGGGAAATGCAAGCATATAAGACATGTTCCCCTCATATTGCCAGGAGCCAGAAATTTGAATATGTTGAGCATTAATGAGGGTGTGAAGAGAAGGGCACACTTCTACATGGCTACAGGGAGTCTGGACTAGTCAGAACGACTGGCAAGGCTATTAAAATGGAAACTGCATGTACCTGGCAATTCTGAGTCTGGGTACAAATGCTCCCTCCTGTGCCCACAAAGCATGCAGACAAATAAAAGTGTTAATCACTCTGTCTTTTCTAAAAAAACGAGAACCCTAAAATACCTATCAATTAGGTAATAGCTAAGGGAACCATGGAGCATTACCATTCCATTACATGCAATGAGGTATTCCACATGTAATGCCATGTAACAGTGTATATGAAAAAAAAAGAGGACTAGGAAATGATTCAGTGGGTAAAGGTTTTTGAGGATCTGAATTAGATTTCCAGAACCCATCTAAAAAAAACTGAGTATGGTCGTACATGCTTGTATCTCAGTACTGGGGTGATGGAGATGAGTGGATCCCTGGAGCTTAGTGGGCAGCCAGCCTAGGCCAATCAGTGGGCCCCAAGTGTCAGTGAGAATCCCTGTTTTACAAAACAAGTTGGGAAAGCTCCTCTCAAACAGTATCTAGGGTGGGCCTCTATCCTTCACATACATTCATGTGCACATACTCCCAGACAGAAACATAGAAAGGAAACAAAACTCTGTAGGAAAAATGACCACAAAATGAAGTAATTCACATTACACACACACACACACACACACACACACACACACACACACACACACACACCAGTATCATCTATACCCATAATAATAGATATGTCAGTAAATGTATTCAAAATGGCATGCAAAATGACTTCAGGTCTGGGGACAGAAGTGGACAGCATTCAGAACAGTCTAGGAGGCAAGCCTCCAGGCTCAACTGAGGTGGAAAGACCACCCTAAATGTGGGCAGCACCATGGAATGGGGGTTTCCTACTCATAAACAGAACAAAGCCATCTGAGGACCAGTTATGGCCTGGCTCTTTTTCCTGAGTGTGCACAGAATGTGACCAACTGCCTCATCTTCCTGTTGCCACACCTTCTCTTTCCTGAGAAACTAGTGCCCCCTTAGACTGTAAGGCACAGAAACCCACCTTAGTTTCTGTTCTATTGTTATGGGACATCACGATCAAGTCAACTTATAAAATAATTTATTTGGGGCTCATGGGTTCAGGGGGTGAGTCCACGGTCATCACGGTGGGGAACATGGCAACAGGTATGACATAGAAGTAATGTCTTAGAGCTCACATTGTGAGACACAACTATCAGACAGAGAGAGCTAACTGGGCATGGCTGGGCTTTTGAAACATCAAAGACCCCCACTGCAATACCTCCTTCAACAAGGCCCATACTTCCCATATTATCATATCTGGTGACCAAGTGTACAAACCACCACAAAACCCTTCCTTTCTTCAAGTTGTTTTGTCAGATATGCCATCACTTTGAGAAGAGTAACTAATACAGGAGGGATAACCCCCAAAGGAGCTGTGTAACAGGATGATCTCTGTGATCTATCATTTCACCACCAGAAGCAAAACACTTTTAGAAGTCAATATTGAATTTCTTTTGTAAGAGACAAGATATTTGAAGACAAAAATAATGTATAGAGATCCCACACTGCTCTCTATTATGAGGCCTTGTCCTTGTGAGGCAAAGGCAGCTTTGTTCCCAGTGGAAGAGCTCCTGCAGAGGGCTCACCGTATGCTGGGAGGGTTACCCTGTGCTGCCAGACCAGTAATGTTTGGGACAGAAGTTCAGTGCTTCTTCTACTGGAAGCAATCACATCAGCGTGCTGGCTTCTTTCCAATTGCCAGCTGCTATTCACAGCATCTCATGCATCCTGACTAAAGAGATAGGCAGCCAGTGTGGGAGGCTGAAGACTGCTGTAGGCCACACTGAATTTGAGGCCATCCTGGGCTATAGTGTGATATCCCATCTAAACAACAAAACAAAATAGACCAACCCCCCCCAAAAAAAAACCAAGTAGACAAAACAAAACAATACAAAAAACAAAATAAAAAACAATGCAACTGAAAGAGAGAGAGCACAAGAGAGAAGAGATGAGGAGAAAGAGAAACACAAGCACACACACAAACACAGAGAGAGAGAGAGAGAGAGAGAGAGAGAGAGAGAGAACACACACAAACACATCTGATTCAGACATACATCAGGCCTTATACCCAGGACTCAGCACCTAATTTCACCTAATACAGCAATTCAAGAGAACAGCAGCTTCATTGCCCATTTAACAGATTAAGAAGTAGAGGTTCAGCTGGATTTGGGATTTCAATCAAATGCCCACATTGCAATGGATGCCACTGATTTCAAACCCTTGATCAGAGCACCTCCTCAAACTGCCTCCCCTACCACATTAAATAGCGAGGCTGGCTTTGCTTCAATTTGTACATGTACAACAATATTCAACTTCTTTCCATTCAAAATAGGGGATAAAGAAGGGCTGCTCCTGTGTGGTCCTGGCAAATGACAGTTGTTAGGAGCAGGGAAGGATCCATCAGGACTGGTCCACAGGGAGTAGAGAAGTCTTTTGCACACCACAGTGGTCAGGAGCCCAATGGCTCTGCTAGGAGCAGGGGAATTGTAAGGCAGATGACACATTCCCAAGGAAGCTGTCCTGCTCTGTCAGAATGCAGATGTCCCGGTTTCCTGCACTTTACTTATCTAACAAGTCTGTGTTCACCACAGAACCACTCATGGCTGGGGCTCTAGTGATTATCAGTGAGCAAAGGCCTGGGATTCCTTTCTTTCTCCATCTGGTGCTCCTGGTATGGGTGTGTGTGTGTGTGTGTGTGTGTGTGTGTGTGTGTGTGTGTAGGTCTTTCATGCTAGTCCTGTTTCTAATCTGTCACCAGACAGCAGTGCAGGAAAGAGCAAGGTGGGTGCTACACTTGCCTTTCTGATGCTGAAAACTCATAGAAAAACTAATGGTGTATCAAAGTCCCCCCAACTTATAATGTTCAGGGAAATTTAGCAAGAAGAGTGGCAGTTAAGTCAAGGAACATCAAACCATTTTGGGGACACTTCCTCTGAATGGAACATGTTGTTCTTTTCCTAGCTGCCTCCAGTTAACTCCCAACCATGGTCCTAGTAGGACATACCTAAGCCATATCCCACACCCACACACATGCTTAGCAGAAGCCTCTGAGTGGTCCCCTTTCCTTGGCAAGACCAGACCTCAGCTTAGTATAAATCCTTCCCAATTTCCAAGATGCAAAGAAGATTCCATTTTCTCAGTGACACATCTTCTGATCGTTCCTAGCTTGTTTCCAGTTCCATCAAGGACTGGCTCAGCTATGAAAGTCCACACCACTTTCACACTAGTATCACTGCGCATGTGCCAAGCTACCCCTGAAGTGTGATCCTTCTCCAATTGCAGCTCTGTGAGGGCCAGGGTGAGTCTCCCTGTCCCCCGGTCTGTGAGCAACCAGTCCACGAGAAACAACGTTGCTTGAACAGATGGCTGTATGAAGAAATGACAAGTATGGTGCCTGGCTTATCTAAGATGTCAAGGTATGATACATATTTCTCAAACTACAAGTATTTAACAGGAATTTCTTACCCAGTTGCCCCTTAGGTAACAATCCATCCAAGAAAGCTAACAGAGATTTATCTATGTCTGATATAAGCAGGGCCATTCCCATACACATCACAGCCGAAACAAGTCTGTAGATCCTCCTTCATTGCCCCGACTCTAATGCTAGTTCTGAGGTACAGGGTGCTGAGTGCCAGGACATTCCAGCCTCACCAGAATTCATCTCAGAATCAAGTGTGGGGCAAAAGGGCTCTCAGGGACAGCAGTGGAAGGATGCTCGGCAAATAGAAAAGTTATGGATTGTGGGATAAGGGTGTCTTTACAGTTTAGGGAATTCCTAGTAAGCAAACAATTTTAAAGAGATAACAGAAGATGTTAAAGGTCTCAGTTACCTGCCCCTACGGTCAGGCGGAACATCTCAAAGCACCAAGCGTCCACACTTCGGGGAGTCAGACTCCTGTGGGATGTCTAGTGCTCCTGCTACGTGGGGAGCGCAGGGTCTGTGGGAGGTCTAGGCTTCGAAGGTCTTCCAAGAGCGAGAGCTCGCTCCGGCTCTGGTGTTCGCGCAGCCAAGCGTCTGCGGTGGCTCTGCTGGTGAGGACACGCGTCGCACAGACGCCCCGGGTCACCAGAGCCAAATTGAGTTTGAGATTTTGCCTGTCCCGCAGCCCGGGATGGTGTGGCCGCACCCCGCGCCCTACTCACCCGCTTCTCTGCACCACGTCCATTTCCCCATTCGCTTCTGGCTCCCGAAGGCATCTGCGTAGTAGTGAACGGGTTCCCAGGCTCACCAGGAGAGGAGACAGGGTGGTATGGCAGTGGGAGGCTCACTCGCCAGA